CCTTTTAATCAAGCAAATAATAATAATATTTCTTCCACCACTTAAATCTGGACAAAAATCTGTCTTAAGTAACCCTTTTCTAATAAATATTGGTTGATTTAATATTTCCTTAAATCAATAAATTCAAAGTGGGCATGAATGCAATTGCCATGAGAGAACAAGTCCAACCAGTTAACCAAAGACTGAAATGAGGTCCCAGAACTTGTCATGTGGAGGCAGCAATCATTGTTCTGATTGCATTGGTTTATCACAAAGGAAATGCTCCACATTTGGAGGCACACAACGCAGACCGAATGTGGGTTGATGAGTCATGGGATCAAGCACCATGACATTGTATTACTCAAAAACACTTTGTTTCCTTGAGAGTCTCATGGAGGATTTTACCCCAGACATCTTTCTTTTTCTTTTTAGAACTGACCTTTGAATTTCAGTGCACGGTAGAAAAGCTGTAAAAATTACCGCAGATCAAATATCGGTGGTAAACATGTGCCAGGGTTATATATCGTACAGAGTGAGTTGATAACTGACCTTGGAACTAATGTGAGATTTCACAGAGACTCCTTTCTGAGTCATAATGTATCTCACCATGTGCAGTGATCCTCTATTTGAATATGACTGGTTTTCATCATCAGAACAATTGAAGCATTATTTTGAAACATTAATTCCTTGAAGTGAAACCACAGTGCCTTAAAGATGAATTACACAAGGAATCAGTCACCAACTGCATTATTAAGAAGAGTTTGGCTCCTGATGAGAAGTAACTACAACCAGATGGGCGAATCAAACCAATGTTATGCAAAAAGACTGGTGAGAAAAGGCCTAAACAATGGGTTTGTGTGTTTCTAGTAATATGACTGTTTACCTAACACTATGAAATTAAAATATACATTTTAATATATGATGCGATATGAATATTTGTATGGTTGCTTCATTTACCTACAAAAGGCTAAACCAACTCAGTGGGCTATTAATATCAGGAAGCGTACTCCACTTATGCTCTTTAAAAGGTTCAATTTCTGTGAAACGGCCTGTGAAATGGATTGATTTCTTATGGGTAATCTCTGCAGCAGTAACATGGGGCTCAGGATCTAAGTCCATCACCCCTGGGGAGTTTTTAAGAGGCAATGTTGAAACCCTTGTGTGTTCAGGCATGTCAGCAACGAGACGGACAGCTCCAACAGGTGGAGAGGATATAAAGTAGGAGGAGCATGAGCCCTTTTATCCCGGCACAGAGGGAGAAAGTGGTGTGAGAGGGATTGCCCAAAAATAACCTGCCGGGTGCGTGGACAGTGGCACTAAGATGCAGAGCGGTGAGAGCTGGTGAGAGAGATGGATGGGAAGGGGCCACATGGCAAACTGTCATCAGTTTTATAAGACAAGCATTATAAACTGTAGATGAATAGTTAGTGAGAAGGCTAAATTATAGCATTTCTGGTTGAGGCACACAATATGTGGTCAAAGAAAATGTCAACTCATACAACCTCAGAGAAGTGATGTCGGTATAGTAGAGATTAGGGATTTGCAGAGACGCTAAGGGTCGTTTGGGGTGAACAGCAGGAGAACAAAGTGCTGTCAAGTCAAAGCACAAAGCGCACAACTGTCACACCAGCAACTGAGATTTGCATTTATAGTCATGACATGTGGTTAAGTTATTTCCTGGACTATTTGGTTTCCAGTAGAGTTGTTTGATGCCATAAATGCATGTGCATTGCACAAACATATACAGTTACACACAAAACTGTGCACTGCATAACATTATAAACCACATGAAATAACAGAATATCCAACTACAAAACAGCTTGTATTATCTTTAAAAGAAAATGTATATTCGTTGTTTTTATTAAAATGATAATTCTTTTTCCCCCTAACAAACAAAAAATCGTAACCGAGCAGACATTTACTAGACTGGGTCGATCTGTGTTAATGGTGCAATTCCAAGGTGTTGAAAACATCAATACGCACATTTATATAGTAATATACTAACTTGAAAAAAGAAATATGAGCTGCCCTGTGAGATTTGCTGCAGTGTATTGCTAACTTATTGGCTTTTAATTTCATGGCCTTTTCAGAGTAAGCACAGTTAATCTTCTTCTGGCACGGGTTTTCTGCAGAGTAAAGTGCTGAGTTCAACGTGGCTCCTTGCTCTGACGTTAGGAGCTTTAAAAATATCCAAAGACTCCCCTTCCTGTCTAATTACCCTTTCATTTTCTGAACCCCCACTTTGTTAGCAGTTATTAAGACTGGACAGATAAGGAGGAGTGTGATGTTTTTCTATCGTCTCCATGCAACTGTGATAAACGATTTGTCAATTTCATCTTTAACACTGTTTACTTTGTGTTTTATCTCATTTTTTGCTAATTAATTATGCTCAAAATACTATAAAACACTTTTTCCATTAACACGATTTGCTCAGCACATATACCGGTAGTTATAATAATCAATCTAGCCAAAAGAGCTAATACTCATACACACAGTGTGAATCAGACAGTTACTGTATCATGACAGAAAGAGATTGAAATGATTTAGGAGGCACTGGATTGATTTACAAGAAATTATCATATGCATATTATTGACTAAATAATAATTTGTATGCTAGGATTATTGTCAATATCACAACAGTCAAAATATGCAAGAAACATTTTACTATAGGACCAAAAAAGAGAAGCAAAATTTACATAAATGCCTCAATATTTATTTGGAAAAAAAAGAAGCAGGTAAAGAGGATATTCTGTTGCCTGTTTCAAGATTCAACAACTTAATTGGCTCCTCCTCAAGTTAAATTGTGCCTCTTATGAAGATTTACAATAGAAAATATACAGCTAAAAAAACCTACTGTATAATGAAAATATATAAAATAAAGTTAAGAAAGCTTAAATACTGTTTATTATTTACTGTTCTCTATCACCAAGGATGTTTTACAGACACAATGATCCTCATGCCAAGCAGCAGTTGTACAGGTACTTGTAATGACACACCAGTCTGTAAATCCAGTACAACATTCTTTCTTTGTGCAGCTTTTAAGAATATTATCACCCTGTAAAATGGTTCAAGGCACTTATAAAGTAACAAAAGGCTGAAATCCAAGAGGATGTTTTCATTTGAACTTAGAGTGAGACAGGGAGTCCACCATGTGTCGGTAGCTGACAGCTATATTTTAAAAGTTATATCATCTATGTCAAGTTGGATGTATGTCTACAGACACATCATGATATCTTATTTCTGTTATTACAACAATTGACAATAATTTTCTTCCCAATGGGAATGTGAAAGAAAAGTGTCTCTATTTAAACTGTTGTTGGCTACTGTGAACTGAGGAAATAATAACAATAATAGCTCTTTTATGGGAGACATTCCAGAGAGAGGAAAATAAAGAGTAGCAGCCACATGAACTCTATCCACTGAACTGTTATGAAGAAAGATTGTATTGATTTTGGAAATGAGCAAAGTGAAACAGAAGATAAGAGAACCCAGTGTTGTGCCACACCAGTGAAAGTACCTGAATGAGATTTGGCTTTCAAAGAACTAATGGCACCAGTAAGAGAAAGCTTAAGAAATTCCATCGATAAAAGATTGATAACATACAAAACATTGTTAAACTATTAAATGAATACTGTAATTGTATATTTTACAGATTACTTTTACACAGATGAGGTCAAACAGGAGGCATCATCAAGATTAAATAAAGATTTAAAAACAACAGTAAGATATGTTTACGGTGTAAAAGAGTGTAAAGCGTAATTTTAAATACAAGTATTAAATGAAATATTTGTATGTGCAACACTTATCTTGAAGTTAATAATAACAAAAACAGAAGTGCACAAATTTGAAAGTGGGCCACTGAGATTTATAAGATTAACCCCACACCATATTGATGTCAGGATTATTCCACCCATGGTATTTGCAGAATAAAAAAGTACATTGATTATGAAATGACACAGATTACTTGTAGCTTGTAAAGTATTTACAGCTGAATAGACATTTTTTCAGAGGCTGCTGTCTATCATTTTTGATTTCACTGGCACTCATACGAATACAGAAGACAGTCAAGATTACTCTTGGTCAATTGACTTCCAAACAAACCATCACATGCCAAGTTATTTGATAACACTCTACTTACAAAACCCAGTGCAAGTAATATTTCATATTTTAGACAGTGGTAACGTCTCTGTCCTGATCGAGAGTTTGTTTTTGTGGCTCCTTTGGGATAAATATAGAATTAATTTGTGGGAATGGCTGCAACTGTCATGTATTGCACAAGCACAACAAGTACGCCTGTGCAGTGAAATGGATCTCATTGGTGTTTTGCAAATTAGAATCTACTAATATACTAATATGTCTATGTGGTCACTTTATTACACCTTTAATCACTGCAACTCATCCAACCGCTCTGTTGCAAAGTGCTTTGTATTTTCACAGCGTCGGAAGTGTATGAAATCAATTATATCTTTATTGCTGATGTCATATTAAAGCAGTGTGGTAACTAAAGACATCATATGTAAATAGTAATGAAAATGTTTCTGTCCTCCATATTTACATGCACCAGAGGGGGGAGGGGCAGAAGTAGAAAAGTTCAGTACAACACCATCAGTATGACTTCAACACACTGAATTTACATGCAGTGTCCCAAAAATGTTTAAAGTGATGGTAATCTAATAAAGATGAGAGCTTATCGATAATTATAAATACAAATGCAACCAGTGAGAGTGAACCACACTTAAACTACAGCAGCTCCCTGGAGGAATACATTGACTACAGTGAGTTTTCGACTGGGATTATAGGTCTTCTATAACAGAAAGGTGTTTTATAGGGCAGCAGACCTAACACATTAAATCATGTACATTATGATAAAGTGTAAACTGAACTCTGACGCACAGAGCGTGTTTGGAGTCGGAGGTGAAGGCGGAAGGGAACATGAACCTCTGAGTGGCACCGAGCAGTCACACCCCCTCTCTCTGAACACCGCAGACACACACTCACACACAAACACACACACACTGACACACACTTGAAACGAGTTGAGGAGCTCAGACAGAGTGAAGAGCGGAGAGAAATCGTTCTTTAAGTCATTCCTGCAGAATTACGCAGCGGTGCCTGAATGTAACGCGGAGACACGGAACGACAGCGCAGAGCGGTGAGCTGAGTGGTTTCACTCTTTTCTTATCATCCTGTGAGTGAATGTGAAGGTGCGTGTCTATGAAATAATGTATTTCCAGTGTCGGCAACGTGGGAAATTTCCGTCAAGGGGAATTTACGCAGCAAGGGGATAATCCACCGCGGAAAAAAAAGGCATTGACAGAAATATTATTTGCCTGCTCCGGAATCACAGCACAACTGGAAAAATATCATGACTCAGTTAGTAACCTATTAGACAACATGTTGGTAGGTCACTGACGGATTTCAGATGTGATGTGGGCACATTTGTTATTTTCTTTGACTTGATCTGTGCATCATTACGCATTTGATGCGCACAAGGAACCAGAGAGCGTCACCGTCCAGCCAATCGAGGACACGACCCCCTGGTTTTATTATGCTTTCATTTCAACTCCACTGATGACACTGAGTAATTTGCTGGAAGCTCTGAATAAATATCTTCAATGCACGTACATTTTTATTATATATCTTGAAAATAAATTTTAGTGGATCCTCGGACCTATGGAGGATTCAAGGAGACCTCAGGAAAACAAGTTGTTTAATTCTACCAGCTGCATCGGAGCTGTTGTTTTTAGTGGTTAGTCCAACGGCAGAATGGCTGCTTTGATTGCAAGTTTTAGTAAATTGTCCCTCCAGCTACTGTAAACAGCTACAATATAAAATTAAGCCAAACAAGTCTTATATAGAAACAAGAATAATCTCTTAGACATGACTTTCCTGAAAATTCTTATCTAGTTGGTTTTGTGGACCAATGTGAATCTAGTTCTGGGATCCTGTTATCCACAAAAACAAAAACATTATCATGCAATTTCCTGCTGACCTACAGTATCCGGGTTGAGGTCAATCCTCTTTAACAAACACCAGCTGCACAAAAAGTACACACACAATGAAAAGGTGTAACCACACATTAAAAAAATAAGCTGGCATGTACTGCAGTAGCAGTGCTGAGAACACAGACCTGCCTGTGCCACTTTTTTTGTGAGGATATAGTGATCACTTGAACTTTCCATGTTTCAATGTCAAAGTGCTGCAGTGGTGAATATGCTAAAGACTGTTGCAACTTTATTGATACCATGTGGGCACTTAGCTGGTGCTTCGATGGCAGAAATGAAAGCAGTCTCGTTATACAACATGTCATTCATAATACCCACAACAAAGAAGCCAACTGTGTGTCCCGCTTTCTGCTGATGAGATCCTACAGCTCAGCGGAAACACAAACATCAACTGCATATACAGTTTGAGAATACAGAGTTATAACTCAGGATTTGTCAGCGGACCAAAATAGAGAGGATCTTAAACTGTAGAGTTCCACTCGAACGCAACCAGGCTCAACATTAGTGGTGATGACAGCTGAGAAGCATGGCAGTGTGAGGATGTCTCAGTGACACTCTGCTGTGAGACATTTTCCACGCAAAAGTGGCCTCATGTTCACAGTGGACACCATGAAGGGGCAGTTTTACCGATTATCAGAGTAAACCAGTAAAATCGACTGATATGAGCCTTTCACAAACATTGATATATCGGCATGTATGTATGCATCGATTTAAAAGTTTAATTTTAACTGTAAAATATCAAGCCTCACTTGTATTTCTTTGACATTAAAGTTTGAAAACAACATTTTAGGAATTACAAGACAATTTTAAAAATATTTATATTAGCCAATGTATCATATGTACATTTTATACTTTCTAATAACGCTAACGGTATTGGCCCCCCCGAAATCCATATCTGTCAAGCTCTAGTTTTCACTTTATTAATTGTTGCTGTTATAGATTTTCAAATAAAATTGCACCACTGGCCCGCTGACAGTGGTATTGAATTGATGCAGTTAGCAACGGTTAGCAAGTTAGATGCTACTGGGATCATATTGTCATGAAACTTGAGGTCAAGCTCGACGCCGAGCTGAATGGTGCTTTCATCCGTCATCGCAGCCAAATGGCAAACAGCAATGTTGAGTGAAATCTCTGCATGAGATCATCAGTTTGTCTGTTTAACAGCAACAGTAGCTCGCTCGTGTGAAACACGTCAACTAAGACTCGATGAGTGAGTGAAGCAGGATATTCAGAAGTTTCATTTGGTTTCATTCAGTAACCGATGGAGGAAACTGTACGTTTTATCTCGTATGAGCAAGCCACCAGGCTTTGCTTCCCATTAAGTGTCTCAGCGTGTGAAGTGTCTCACTACATTTCAATAACCAAGAGATTGTGCCAGTGACAGTTGCTGTGGCTTTTCTGAAATAGCGAGTGGGGCGTCTGCAGGGGCACATATAGATAGCAAATGTGATTCCAGCTGCCACTGCGGCATCCCATTCTAAATGATAGAGCAGTTGATTGAGTGGAGCGTTTCTGCTCATACACATCAAGAGCTGTGTATCAAGTTGCTGGGCCATTGTTGATCAGAGCTGCCTTTGCTGTTACATGAAATAAACAGCTGATGAGGATTATACAGCTGCCACTCCCGACTGCCAGGGAACAGTAAATCATGAGCACGTTCATGGTATTGAATTTGTATTCATGTGGGAACCTTTATCAATTGAATTCTGTCACTAGTGCTACTCCATCTATTACTAGTTCTCTTGTCCCCATACCCTGTTATTCCAGCTCTTTACACCAACTGATTTCTATCCTGCTTTGTTAAAGACCTGCTTGTTGGTCCAGATCTTTTCAAAAAGGCTACCAAGGATGTCCAATTAGAAGCAGATATTAAAACATTTATTTTACAGAATAAACAGTGCAGAAAAGATGCACATTTATGTTTACGTCATTATAATAATGTTGCTTTTCTTGATTCAATTTATATTAGTTGGTTGTATTAATGTTTATGATTGAACTGTACAACATCAATCCTTAATTATCTTTCTCAGTCATAAGGGTTTAATAACATCTATTTTTTTTAACATATAAATTGTATGTTGATCTCAAACATTTTCTACTCCCTAATAAATACCCTCAAAAATCCATATCAGTTGGGCTCTCCCAAGAAAAGATCATCAATAACACATTTAGCTAGTGATAAAACCCGGAGAGTGAAAAACTGAAGGTGGATGTTAGACTTTAAACCAGGAAACATGTTTTTCATATGCTGTGTGACTGTGTGTGAGTGTGGGATATGGTTCAGAGTTGAGTCATGTAATGGCATAAATATAAATAAATGTATATGTAATGTCAAATAATTTCAATGGTTTTTAATGGTTATAGTTGGTAAAGTGTTTTTTTTGTTGTTTTTCAGGTTTAGACTGTGATAAAAGGTGAGAAACTTTAACTTAAAGTCCTCACTAGTATAGTCAGATGATTGTTTGCCATTGTGTGCATGTGTGTCACTAACTGCGTCTCCATGCTCTGATCTAGTAGCAAGTGATTAAAGCCCCAGCTTGCCACAGTCTTTCTGAAAGGCTGAAATCTCAGTGATTATGCTGCCGACCACACAGAGCGGAGGAGCAACAGCTGCAGCTGGTTATCAATCGACTCAGGCGTTTAGAGCGAGGCTATCGAAACAGATCCCACTGTTCCAATCTACCAACTCATTTCCATATTGAGCACTGGAGGCTGAGGCTATGCTTGGGATCCACCTTCATATATAGATATACTGCACATTGCCAAAAAATTAGGGTGTGCATTGAATACAGCAGCCATACATCAATTGTGTCATTAGTGGGGGAAGCCTTTTTGTATTGTTTCACAGAAACTATTTTCAGCCATATAAAAATGTCTGAAACACAGATGTGTTGGCTTTTAACATTTACATATACAGCTTTTACAACAAATTCAGAATAGTCCAGGATACACCTCTTAAATATTTCCTTACAAGTTGCCATTTCAGCTTCTTCTTTCTACTTATAAGTTGCAAGCTGTCAAAATGTTTTAATTTTACACATGCCACCACATGCTGGAAAGGGGGCACATCTGAATGCCACACTTCCAAATGTGCACAGTAAGCTATATTGGCGGTCTGTTGAGGTTGGACCTTCAGGAAATTATTCACTGAAAGCCAAAAACAACAAGCTGCCAGGAATGAGGAGAGTGGGAAGTTCACAGAGCACGGGGAGGAGGTGGGGAAGATGGATCCATTTCAATCCTCTCCAAAATAGTAGCAAGGATACACACTGAGACCTCCATGTGATAGCGTGCACCAGTTTTGAAATCCCTGTCATGTGCAGTCTGCAATTTCCTCCTTCCAATGTCCCTGAGGTTGACTCTGATAATGAAAGATCAATTATTTGATCCCTGGCATTTACTGTTCTCTGAGGTTCATATGTCACAAACAAAGCTGTTTGAAGGAATGAGATGCTCCTCAGGTTAATAAAATGGAGTGTAGGAGTGAAGCCCTGGAGGAGTCAGAAGTGGAGGCATGTGAGCACTGAGCAAACAGTTAGAGGTGAACATCTCTGGGAGCAGATGCACAGCAGAAACTCAAAAACAAGCGAATGTAATATGCCAAGGCAACTAGACAGGAAATTAACTATTTTCTAATCAACTGTGTGGGGTGAAGGTGAGTTGCACTATTTAGCTTTGGATAAGTCAGGTGTGAGTTAACCAGTAACAAGAGCTTTTTATCGTGAATGTCAATGGATATAAAAGCAAAAGACAAAATATTAAACCAGTCTAATTTTTTTTTTAAAGACATATTTTCATGTTGGAAAAAACTAGATTCAAAACACTACATTTACTCATCTATTTGATGAACATATCACATAATGTGGGCTTTATTACTTCCTCAAAAAATGTGAAACAGATTTATCTGTTCATATCTTTAACTTCCTTTTGTCTGTGATTGTGGGTTGGGTTCACATGCTTTACCGACACACACACGCACAAACACGCACAAACACGCACAAACACACACACACACACACTAATCTGAATAAGAGAAGAATGTGAATTCAATAAAAAATATGACTAAACACGACATTTGTCTCGTATTCATGTGAAACCTGGAACTTAGAGAACAAACGTTTCTGCAAAGCTTCTTTTATTGATATTGATTTACTGTACAGCTCCTGTTGTGGCGGACAATCAGGGCTGGTGTATCCTGCACTAACTCAAGGATACAGTTTAGTCGACAGTTGAGCAGTCAGATGACTGACGAAAGACTGCCCTCTATGCAAATGATCAGTGACTAAATAAAACAGGTTCTGTGTGGATGCCCTACACTGCCACAGATTTCCTTCTTCCTTTATCACAGCTGCTCTGCTTCTTCACTGACTGACTTTGAAGTCAGAGCATCTCGGATGGCTAATCTCTGCTGGATATTTTATTTCATGTACTTCTGACTTGCTTGGCTTTTCATGAATTCATTTTGTGTCCATGCTAATTGCTCATTCAGCTGTTCACACAGATGATTAATACCCGTTTTGTACAGCCGGTGTCTTGAAAAGGTGACTGAGTTGCCTTTATTTTGTTTTATTTTATTTTTTTCCAGAGTGTGCTGTTTTCACCCATCTTTTTTCCTAAATCCTAACTCGGACATACACCTCTTTTGTGTGACAGTTTGAGGTGGACTGGCTGTAAAAATGTCCAGATCCACAAAATCAGCCTCGAGGTCTCGGAGCCGTTCGAGGTCCCGGTCAAGATCCCGCTCCACCTCACGCTCCAGAAGTTGCTCCAGGTCCCGATCCAGGAAGCATCGTTACAGGTAGAGTCCATTTGTTAAAACACTGATTCAGTCCTGAGCCTCTGTCTGCAGCAAAGATTTTACCACAAATTTGATCATGAACAAATGAGACACTAGCAGCCAGTGCAGCAGAGGAAGTGCTGCTTGACAACATTGATTTTGTTTTCCTGAAGTATGCATCTTTTCCGTTCAAATTCCATCTAATAAATGTTATGACATATAACATATAACATTTGCTTTGAGAAGTAAAAAAATACATATTTGCTGGCAGTTTATTTTTGATGGTGGGAATATGTCAACAGAAAGTTCAATGTTCTGTAATACTCAGTTTTCCCTCTGAGCTACATATCTATTCATTTTTATCTGTGTGACATGGTCTTGCTCTGGACTTAAATTTGGTTCTCATGTGAAAGCTGGTGCAGTTTATTAATTGATTTGGGTCTGACCCAAAATCTGGACTCAGCTTCTATATCTAGAGGAAATTGTTGTTTGAGAAAGATTTCAGCTGCTGTTGGTGAATTAATTGAAGTTTGAGTGAATATTATTGAATAATATAGGTTGCTTGCATTGCATGGGAAAACATTTGCATATATACTTAACCTCAGTGGCACTCAGAGTATTTTATCAAGCTTATCAGCAGCATTGAGAGTTGGCTGCTTTGCCTAAAAAAGCCTTTTAAAAAAAACACCCTGACTGTTGGTTTGATCTGCAGGCTCTGATGCCTATGCTGTTTCTGGCAGAAGGACTGTGGCATGGCAGTAAAAAGGCAGGGCAGCTCATTTCCTGGCAGCGCCACAGCTCCTATTAAAATTAGTATAAAGAAGAGACATGGAAGGCATCTAATAAAAACCACACTTTCACATGTCTGTTGAACTGTAAAAGCATAGATACACACACTTACATGCATTTTATATAAATCTTGTTTGATATATAAACATTAGAGAAAAGACACAGAGACATTTATTTTTCAAAATTTTCTGGGCTAAAGGTCCCATGTTGACAGGTCTGACAAGTAAAAAGAGAGAAACATCTTCTCACTGTCAACATCCCTATATAATTAACACTTCAGTTCAGGGTGGAAATTTCCCATTGATTTATCACACTTAAAATATGAGTAGAAAAAACTTATCTTGGAGTTTTATATTCGTCACAATATAAGTACATCTTTAAATGAGTATTTTGGTGGCACAGTCAGACTTGTAAAGTGTCTAATTCTTTAATGAATCCTCACTGAACTGGTCGGACAGCCCTTGTAACTGGCAAACATAGAGTCAAAGGATTTAAGTGGATTTTTTTTCCCCTCTCATTTGGTCCATGTGACTCCCAGCTTTACCAGAGCTGGCCAGAGGAGCTGCAGTATCTGAAGCTCGCGCTGTGAGTGTGCAGTGCTGCTTAGTGCGCTGCCTTTCTTAATCATTCTGTATTCCAATGAAAAAACACACTAGGTGAGTGCTGTGCTTTTTCACCCTTTTGTATCTGGCTTTATCGTGTGTTTGCATGAAGTGAGGCTGTATTGCTCTCTCTGTTTAGGACATAGTTGTGCGATGTATTGTAAGCTTTGCACGTATTTTGGCATATAAGCTTCAGCACATGTTCGTGTTGTATTGAGGTTTTCATTGACAGAGCAATTACCTTTTGTATAGTGACAGTTGTTGAAAAGTTGCTGAAGACAGAGTTGTAGAGAAAGAGTTATACAGGCTGATGTCAGGACTAGATGTGGTACATTCATAATCTCAGTTAAGGCAGTGTCAAAATTGTGGATTATGAAATGTGTTCATGTTTAAACACAGAAGTTTAGCTGATAATATCACCAATCTAAAGTAGAGAACACACTGTGTCGGAGTTATACTGTGAGGACTATGTTCCTTCTTCAATATAACACAAAGCTTTTTTCTATGAGAAGCTCAGCAGCGACATCATGTGGACCATTCTGAAACTTCAGCCTCGCACAGCGCACGCAGATGGAATCTCTGATTTCCTCCATGAACTGCTCCTCTGTGGGTTTCTCTCAACATGGAAGCCCACATGTTCTATACTAACATGCAGTGTGTTTTACCAATTCAAAGTGATATGTGGTTGCTGTACATAGCAGCCATATATTCTGTTCATCATTCTTTTTGTGGTTTGGGAAAGTTTCATGAATGGGAAATTGGTTTCAGATTTTTGGACCATATGTTTTCTTTTTCTGTGCACTGGTAAATTTTGTTCTGTTGTAACTGAAGTTTGGATAGCGTGAAATCTCAATGTACTCCATGCATATACGTTTTCATTGAATCAGAGAATCTTAAAGCCTAAATTTGATCTACATGTTTGACTCATCCAGCAGCTGAAATCACTTGTGATGACCTCTATACAATGGAACATTGTTTGAAAAGTTTCTTCAAACACTTTTGCAGAAGTTCACTTCACACAAAGGTGTTGCACTTGTAGGTGACTTAGCTTTGACCTTCTGTTCAGTTCATGCCAAACCAGCTCCAGAGAGAATCCCATCTCTTTCATCTTCTGAAGCCACCATGTAATTCATTTATTTTAATGTTTTAGGGCATTATCTTGTTGAGGATAAGATAATGTTAAATAAGTCAGTCTTACTTTGTCTTTTTACTCAATATACCTTACTACTTCTGTAGTCTGTACCAACACCATATTTGTGCAGAAGGTTTTTAATTTATCAACAAAAGCTTACCCTACAACACTAAATTTACTTCCATATTTACAGGAAAGTTGTGGGTGAAAAGTCCTTCTGTGAAAAAAAGGTTTATCTGCTTAATTTAACTGTCTCCCACAAAAGACTGAAGAGCCTGGTTTACAGTGGTGTAGTATTAGTGCATTAGTATAGTTTATCTTTATTATTATTTTCCCAAACCAAACATTTATCAGTGAAGTCATGCTTTTCTTTGTTTTGCCATGTTGTGATTTTGTGTATTACACATTTTTTATATTTATTTTAGCAAAAACCAAAGCTTTTGTATACTGACCAGGCTGAATCATGTTCTTTATGTACGTCACTGGGCTAAATGATCAGTTGACACAAACTGATGTTTATAATTAAATATTCATCACATCCCCCTTTTGAGGTTTTATTCTATTGTTTGTTACAGCAGGGACTCTAAGTCATACATATATAATTGAACTGATGACATTATGCTGTTTTTGGAAGTTTATGGTGGTGTTGTATTGTATTACATTACATTGCTGTGGAGGTTTCTGTTTTGGGGCCAGAACCAATTGTAATATCTTTCCAGAAATTTGTTATGTGTTTTCTTTCTCTCATTTTGTTAATAGCTCAAGGTCTCGGTCACGGTCAAGATCTCGTTCTCCATCTTATAACCGAGACAAGAAATATACAAGAGGATACCAGAACAACCGGGAGTTCCGAGGCTACCACCGCGGCTTCCGGAGGCCATACAATTTCAGGGGCCGAGGACGAGGCTACTTCCCACGTGGTCGCTTTCAGCGTGGTGGTGGGGGTGGTGGCGGCTACAACAACAACAACTTCCGCCCAAACTGGAAGAACTACAAGCAGCACCCTCAAAAGCAACAGCAACCACAACAGCAGCAACAACAACAACAACAACAACAACAACAGCAGCAGCAAAACTATTCTAGAGGGCGAGGGAGATGGCCCAATTTCCAGAAACGCTCAGGGAGCCCCCCTCATGGCAACTCTCACCGCTCTGACCGATCCTCCTCGCCATTATCCAGACTTTCTCAGCATTCTTCTTGCTCCTCACACTCATCCTCTCCCAAATGCAGACCAGCCTTGTCGCTGGCTAATCAGAACTCCAAAGATGTGAAAGAGAACTCAGCCTCAAAGGAGGTAGGAGGGGAGGATAGGGGTCCAGTGGAGCTTGTCGAGGTGTTGGCAGGAGATGCAAAAGAAGGAGCAGATAGTGAGAAAAATGAGGGGAGCTGGCAGGGCCTGACAGACTGCAGCAGCAGTCCAAAGAGAGCCGGTTCTCTGGCAAATTCTGCTGTTATTGCTGGTCAGAGCAGCCAAACTACAAACCAATCTGCCCCCACTAAAAACACAAATGACACCAGAAATGGTGCCCCTTCCTGGCAGATGGTGTGTAGTTCATCCTCTGCAAAAAAAACCTCACATGAAGGTCTGAATCCAATGCTTTCCAGCTTTGACTTCTTCTCCACTGAGGAATACCTGGATGGAGATAAATCAGCCATCTCCATTGCTTTCAGAAAGTAAGGCTGATTTTACTTTTCTTCTTTCAGATCAGTTTTGACATTGTTTTAGAAAACCATGCAAGTTTTGCAGATATACAAATAACATGTTGGGAGTTATTGTTTACAGCTTAAATACTTTTGCATGCCTTTTTTAGATCACACAATGCTATCGGCTTTGCAAGTTTTTACTGGTCACGTTAGGTTGTTGTAACAGACAAAAATAAAATTCAGGGATTCAGATAGATTTTTAAAAAACTTGTGGTGTGTTCTCAAATGTCTGTAACTTTTATCTGACACTAATATTTCAGTGCTGTTTTAAATAGATGTTATTTCACAGACCATTGGATAATCACTTGTTTTTCTGTTGTCCCTCAAAGTAGTAGTTGGATGCAGCTCTTCATCTCTTTGTCATTGTTTAGGTTTCTGGAGGAGCAAAATAAGAAAGCTGCGTCTAACTTGGAAAACGGCAAAAATGCAGAGACAAATGATGTGGACATGGATCAGGGGAAAGTAAATGGCAAAGCATCAGTCATTAACACTGACTCTGTGTCAAGGAAGTACAAAGGGGACATTGACGGTGAAGTGTCCCTGACCAGCTTCCTGAAAACGTCTCCCTTTCTGTCTGCTGATGGGGAGGAAGAGGAGGAGATGGTCATCAAGCCTCATTCAAAGTCACTCCAAAAAGAATGGCACAATGGGGATGAGTCCTCTAAGCTAAATAGCCAGGTCAGTCAATCAGCCCGGGAGCTGTTTGAAGAGTGCTTTGGCAAATGGAAGAATGTGACCTATTCACAGGTGGCTAACAGTGACCTTGATGCCATGGCAGAGGAGATATATCTTAGTCGAAAGCAAGATAAGGCCTCAGCCTTTGCAGCTGCCCTCGCCAAGAGGGAGTTGGCAGGAAAACTTGACAAACTCTCCCCAGACAGGAATTGTAAAGCCAGGAAGATGGCTAAATCTCCCTCTGTCCCATCTCCTACACTTCCACCCAAGAGGAACTCTGACAGAGAGATGTTTATGGTCAGGGGAGAGGACTCATCTTTCGCATCCTCAAGAAAACACGAAGCAAAATTTAATATCAAAATGGATTTTCTTGGAGATACTCTGCTAAGGTGAGCAACTTACTATAGATTCTTGTCCCATATAGTCTTTCCACAGTGATACCTACATACAGCTCTAGATGTATAGAACAGCTACACTTCTGCTGTAAACTGACCTCTTTAGAAAACAATCAAAATATTTATTGTCAGTGCTTTCCCAGTATAAAATGTTGTTTTATCCAATTGAATATTTATTTTGTAACACACACAGAACATGTTTTTTGTCACTTTCAGCTCTTCAGATATTTTAGCTGAGGAGCGACAGTTGTCTCAGGATCTCGTGCAGTCTTCAAAGAAGGATCAGGAGTTTCGCTCCATCTTTCAACATGTTCAGGCTGCTCAGTTTAACAGAAGTCCCTCTGAGCTGTTTGCTCAGCACATAGTCACCATCGTTCACCACATTAAAGGTGAGGCCCTTCTGTCTGTAAGCCATGTCTTGACATACAGTATTATTCACAATGTACATTCATCTAAACTGACACAAGTTTTTCAGTAATGAAGGAAAACAAATCTATTTTTCAGAATCACACACCATGTTGCATTTGCTTTGGCCGCAGGAGTTTTTCGTAATAGGCTTGTGTTAATGTTCAAATCATTATAAACCAACATCACAATTGAATTTTGAAAAAGAAACAAGGTGTATTAAGAGAAATCTAAAAAAGAAGAACAATAGGGCTGGGAAATGTGGCGTAAATGTTCTGGAAAAATAATTTGGAAACTGTTAATGGAGATTCAGGTATGTCTGTTTTTGGTTAATCCACTGAATTTAAAAATGACAAATCTGGGTACTTCATCACAATAATGAAAAACTCGAATCCATATTTTACCTAATCCATAATGATCTTTTAAATAAATCCAAATCTAATCATAGCTTTTTTTTTTATGACCGTTACAGCTCAGCACTTTCCATCTTCTGGCATGACTCTTAACGATCGATTCACCATGTACCAAAGACGAGCTGCAGAGAAGGAAATGATGAAGCCAAGAAAAAGCCCAGAGATACACAGGTAGAGTCGCCTCTTGAGTGACCCTCTCACCTTCAGTGTGCTGTGGCTTCACCACCTCTTTTAACAGCTTTCAGGTATTTCTCTCACCTTTGCTACCTGAACATCATCAGACTACCTTAGCTTATTTGTTCGTATGCTTGGTGGAGACCAGTTTTATTTCCTCACCAGTGTTTCTTTTCATTTTATGTTGGCATCACAGCTCTATGCAGCTCACGGTTTGTTGTTGTGGCACCTGTGTACTGTGGTTTCAATACTACGTTCATTTAATTCTGTTGTTTTTAATGTGTTTCTCTCTCACAGAAGAATTGATGTTTCTACAAGTGCTTTTAAGAAACACTCTCAACTTTTTGAGGCGATGAAAAGCTCAGACGATGGCACTTACAAGGTGACTGAACATTTTGCAGTATGAAGTATGTTGGAAAAACAAACAACACCAAAAAGAGTGAGCAAGCCAGATGCCATTAGACTGCACTCTCTTAAAGCCTGTGGCTTTCCTTGAAGGAAGACTCTCAAAGTCTAAGAAATGCAAATGCAAAACAAGGCACTTTGACTTGGTTGTTTGTTATATCGCCTTCACACATGGTGCATTGGTTATACTGCGGGCACAAGCCTGACCAAGGCTAATGAATCAAATAAGGTCAAAAATGGAAGCCACTGTGCCAAAGCTGTTCAAAGGACTCTAAACAATTATCTTCGTAAGTATTTCAATTAGGAACAGAAAAAAACCTCAGCAAGTACTATGTGCATCTGTGCTTCAAAGTATACGTACATGCTTACATTTTTGAGTAGAACTTCATAGTGTTTCTGTATTGATGCACATGGACATGGTCAACCCCTTGTAAACATGAAGCATAAATATGAGGGGAAAAAACTGTGGAGAACTGTATCTTCTTGTTCTTCACCGTTCAGTACTGGTTTTGCATGTATAGCCAAATACCTGTATAGTGCATATACACCCACCATTTCCCACAGCATATCTGAGCATATAAGATTGGTTTTGCACCACCCCAGCAACAATTAGTGTCAGTTTATGGTATCAGAAAGATATGATAATCAACTTTTAATGAGTTGAAACTTCTTTGAAATAGGAAAATGAATCACAGTAAGCACTCTGACTGTCTGAAACCAGCTGTTTACAAACGGTTGTGTTTTGAAATACCTGAACACACCCTGTCTCTGAAGCTGAGGCATGAAAACTGCTTCCAGAAGTTGTGTTAAAAATGGAGGATAAATGTGCAACACGTTTGCTGCTGTTGAGCGGTGAATTCCTCACATCTTGGAATGAATTAGTGAGGAGGTTTTCAAATCACATCTGACGATTGATCATACTGTAACGTAACGAAGCTGACTGTGATAGAATGCCTATTTCAAGAAAATTCAAAGTCATTGCATGTTGATTGTTTTATCGTATTGAGCCATCTTTAAGGAAACTGATCTCCAAATACTTGAGAATAGCTTGTAAGTCTTACCAAAACATGCAAAACTACTGGTTTGGCAAGTTAAGTACATTTGAAAATTCACTCCAAAATGTCTGAGTTTTATTCATGCCAACTGGCTGTTACCCAGGTTTGTCCCCATTTTCCATTGACATAATTTAGTTTACAAACCAGCTTGGCCGAGAGCCGACTGATAGCATCCTTGTGCTAATCCAAAGTCTGTGGCCTACGATGTGTTCTGTTTTGATTTGCTCAGGATGGTGGGGGGAAAATAAAGGGTGACCCAATGGACCTTCGTTTGGATATTGAGCGGCGTAAAAAATATTCCATCCATGAAAAAGATAATAATCAGGATCGGGTACGAGATATGGGAGATTCCCCGAATTCTAGCCGAGAGAGATCCATGGAAAAGTTCTCCAAATGCCACAAGAGATCAGGGTATGTGCAATTGCACGACACTATTTTTGGGAGGTTAAATACATTGTACTATAAACAGTTGGACATGAAGGACATTGCATCTACCCTCTCTTCTTTTAGGAAAAGTAAGAAGAAGCGCTCTCGCTCACGTTCATCCTCGTCTTCCTCATCAAGAAAATCCCAACAAGAAGGAGATTTGCCCCTTAACAAGTCTGATCCCAAAGATGAAGGCTTTAATAAAGCCCAGCTGAGTCAAGGGGAGTCACCGGGGTCTGAAAGAGGAAGGCCACATGGATTTGTGAGTTTAGATGGTGTTTTAAAGAGATGACGTTCTCTAGAAAGATCATAGTTTGGAGGAATATTTGTGTCATTACACAGTACATTTGACTTTCACAATTTGTGCTGTCAATGGTTTTGCTTCTTTTGAGTTCCTTTTTTTTTTCTCTAATTACAGCAAGTAAGAATTCGGGGAAGGGGCTGGAACAGAGGCAATTGTCAAGGGATCAGTTCACATAGTAATGCCATAAACATGGTAGCACAACAAAAAACTGAAGGCTGGGAACCAGAGTACACTCCCAAAAGCAAACAATACTATCTGGTAGGATCACTCTCCTACCTATTAATGCCTCCTATTAACCACATGGTGTAATTTAGTCAGATGGAGCTCAAGTTTGTCCTTGTCTTGACTCCCCTCCATCCTTTTACTTTGTTTGTCACAGCACGACGACAGAGATGGGGAGGCAGACTGCAAGTGGATGGACAATCAAGGGCGAGGAAGCTTCTCTCGTGGAAGGGCACGTTTTATTATCCGCAAAGCCACCGGGGGTTCCAACACCAACAACCCCAGATGGGCCCATGACAAATTCCAGGTCAATGGAGGGAAAGGTGGTTCACAGGAAGAGGAAACAGGGCAGGACCGTAATGAGGGAGAAATAGATGGAGAGAATGGTTGAGCCTTGAAGCAGTCTGATGAAAATCTTGACGGTCTTCTATGTTGTTGCAGGATCTGACACAGTAATTTTATCTACCACAGAGGATCAGTAAATACAGATTCAAATGTTTTAAGGCTGTATATTGGGATACTTACTTCACTTGCACACAACCTTTCCCTATATTAGCTACAGCTTGTCACTAGAAGAAGCACTGTTTGAAGGGTGAAATGCTGTTTCTCATGAAAATCCTCAACTGTATACTTCATGTTTCTTTCTTTTTATAAACCGACTTTTTCTTTGCATCAGCACAAATTATTGCATCGAAGATCATATCAACTTGTGCCACATAATGATGACAATGAGTTCAATTCTCCCAAAATTTGTGTGAAAAAAAGCAGGCATGTTGTTTTGAGCTGTGTCTTGTGTGGATGACAATGACAGCAATAAATACACTGTAGTTTATGTTAACAAAAAAAATATCACTGTTTAGCTGACTCAGCACGCGACAGATGACCCCGATTTGATGGTGGGACCAAACTGTACGGGGTCAAAGGTTAAGCTCTATAGTCTTTCATCATGTAACATCCAACAGGTCTACTGTACTAGCTGAGAGCATAGGATAGGCCTACTGTTACTAAGTTAACTATCTTAACATTTAACATTTTCATGAAACATTTCTGCTATCTGAGATTTCTACCCTTTACAGTGGCTGTGTGCTTGATCTTCAGTACCACTAATCGGTTCATAATATTTATATTGATTTTAGTTTCTTTTCAGAGATATTCTTTGCTGTTTGTGGACCTTGCTAGACAGGATTAAGACTTAGTAATGTCAAGGAGAATGTGTTGTTATTGCAATAGATTTTTATGTGATTTTTATTTGGCTGAACCGCAAACTTTCTTCTTTACTCAGTTGCGTAAATTGTGTGCAAAAATGTCAACGAGTGATAGAAAAGATCTAGAATTCAGAGAATAGTTAGAGAAATACGGAGCAGTTTATATGATGTGACAATTATGTCTACTAATTTCTTATTTGCCCATAATCAGTGAATTGAATTGCACAATTTGTGCCTTACCACGGTTGCTCTGGTCTTATTTGTACAATGCAGGCCTTCAGATTGAAATTGAAATTCAATTGTTTAAAGCTTACTTGCTTAGAAAATAATACTCTTTTTAAATAGGTACTGTTGCCATCTTTTTTCTCAGAGATTGTAAATTAAAGAGACACTGTTTTCCTTGATTCCTTGCCTTGATGTGTTTTTTCTATTGTTCTTTTACATTGTTCCATTATGAGCAAGTTGAAAAGTCACTTTACAGAAGTTGTGTAGTTTTCTCGACTTAATGTGTGGAAAAGATCATGGGAAGTAGGAAGCAGCTTTATGGATGCTCACAGGTATACCTGCATCCGATTTGTAGTTTACAGCATTCTAGTTTTAGTTTTCAGTTTCCAACCTACTTTCCAATCCAAAATACTAAGGCAAAATAATGTACAGTAAACCTATGCTTCAACTAGAATGCCATTACTGGCACAAGAGTCCCCTTACATTCAATCAAGCTGCTCCAAATCGCACACTCACAGATATTAGTCACCTACATATGACGACAGGGACAAAAAGATAACCTCCTTGGTGGAGAAACCAGGTTATGAGTACAGTGACTCAGCCTTGATTTGTTACTGCTCTATCAAACAGTCAACCAAGATTACTTCCTTCTTGTAGAGCCATTAAAATTAGTCAGAATGAGTCATACTGTTTTCTACAATCCAACTTTGTCGAGACAATATCCCTGAAGATCGCTACAGACCCAGGTCAATCAAATCCAAAGAAACATATATGTCCACAATGAACAGAGACTTCCTCTCTCTAACACATTTCTGGATTCAAAAGTAGAGACTCAGATATTCTCCTGTCTATAAAGGCTTCAGGTGGGCATTGTCTAAATCTGTATATAATATATCACAAAGGGGCATTCTACTTCTGCACTGTACTATTATATCGTATGTAATTGAAGTGCACTCTGCAGTGGTGTGATGAAGTTTTTATTATATCTTATATGCCCTCTTGATAGGTAAAATCCAGACAAAAAAAGTAATAAAGCTACTGTTAATATAATAACTACCTGATAATGACATAACAAGTCAGTTTAAATATATACACTGGAAATACAGTGCAGGACAGAAAACATAGAAGAGAAAGAAGGTATATTCTTCACTTTACTGTAAACTTGATTGACATGACTTATATGTTGACATTCATCAGAGAAAATTAGGGAAGTACTATATGAGCACAGTCGATCTCCATATCTGATGACCAACACTTTGGTAAAGAAAGAGTGTTAGCTGTTACAACCACAGCCTCTATGTTGATGTTAATGGAAACTAATAAATGAATAAATACATACCAAAGAAAAGGAGCAAAGTAAGTGAAATCTGTAGCTTTTTCATGCTAGAGTGAGAAGAGTAAATGAAAGAGTACAAAAGACCTGGATTCAAGTGTTATTGTTCTGCTTGTGAATGCTGGCGTTTGTATTCTTTTATTGTTTTGCTACTGCAGAGGAACTACATTCATGCTCCTTCTTAAGTCCCACTTACAAACCTGTCTTACCTGTTTCTCTTTCTTTCTTTCTCCCTCCCTCTCTCTCTGTCTGTCTCTCTCTGTGTCTCTCTCTGTGTCTCTCTCTCTCTTTCTCTCTTTCTCTCTCTCTGCTGTGTGACCCTTCCTCCTCCTTGTTGACTTGCCATGACTAGCCTCAGGAAAAGTTGCTCAATGTTAATGTTTGACAAGTAGGAAGAAGGGCCTTGGCTGTCGTATCTCTCGGTGTGAGACAACCCAACCAAACTCTTTCAGTTCTCCTTCGACTTAAAGAATTTATAGCTGCTTTGTGAAGGAATTAAATATTCAGATAAGAGGAGGAACAAAAGAAATATACCATGGGTGAGTCTGCATTTTCACTTTTTCTCTTATGCACATGGATAAGTGTTTGACTTAGCTTCACAGTTTACTGGAATTAGAGGATTGATGGTAAAACATTGAAGTTCTGCGTGTT